CCCGAGGCGGAGAAGCACCGCGGCGGAGGCCGCTGGTTCCGCGCTCGCAGGCTTTGACCGGCGGTAGGGGCGAGTGGGCACGTCCGGGCGCGAATAGCGCTGAATTAACGCGTATTCCTTCCCTCGGCTTCAGGCTGTCGCCAGCCCAAATCCCTGGCCCCGGAGATGCCCTTGTTCGCAGCTCTCTATAGGGCACTCACGGAGTAACCTGTGCACCGAGTTCTCGGCGGAAGTAGCAAACCATTTTACAGTCATCATCATCCTCCTTCAAGTTGTCACTGTACAGAAATGTAAATAATCTCCCATCCAGTGGTTATTCCGATGAAAGGCAGTGTTTTGTCTTCTTTACACATCATCATCTGATTATTATTTTATATATACAGCTTACTGCTTTAATGGTTAAAGAAACCCACCATGCTTCAGAGAGCTGCAGTACATTAAATGAAAATTCAACAACTTGAAAATTAATAGCCAGTCCTGGGGGTACTGGCAGACGGTAAAGGCACATATTATTACATGACCTGAGGTCTCTTTACTGGTGGATTAACACAGCAGGCAGCATCCTAGCATGATGGCAAAGGCATGAGCTCTGAGCATATGCGTTTATTACAAAGTGCAGAAGCAGCTCCTCTGCTGCAGCTGGTGGCACTAGCTCCAAGAAGCAGGATTGCTGGCCCTCTCAGCACAACAATGATCACAGCCCACCCCCAAGTCCCTTTCTCTTTGGGAAGTCCCTGTGCCCTGATAATGGCCATGGTCCTTAGGTTTATTATAAATTTATCTGTTAAATTGATGGCATTTTGCAAAATATGAAATGAATGCCTATGTCTTTGCATTCTGATGTTGTGGAATCATTAAAGCTCTTTACCAGTCCATAAAATTCCACCCTGTCACTGAAAGATATGCAGTTAAAGTAACTACTCTGAAAGTTTGACATAAGAAGTTTAAACATACTTACAGGATTGCAAGACATCTTTTTTCTACATGAGCAGTTTGGAGCATCTACTTAAAAACTTAATTTCACTGCTGTGTAGATCCAGCAGCTTGCTAACCATGAAAGAGGTGGAAGGATACAACTAAAATACATGTAGCATGAATAGTGAGAAAATGGAATTTTTCATTTGATTTCAGGGTTGAGAACACTAAGTACTAGAAGTACTGTTAAAAAATTAAAACAAAAGCAGTGCAAATGATATTTCTCAAATGACACAAAACTAAGTAGCTTCTGGACAAGCTGATTTCAGGTGAATATGATTTTTTCTTGTACTTTCATGTAAACATAGAAACCCATCCCTCTAAAAACTAGAGAAGAAATTATTCCATAATTAAGTAAAATTAGACAAGACATGGGAAAAACTAGATGAGAAATATATATAAAATTTTTGAAAAGCAAACGGGGAACAGAAAATTAAAAAATCACCATCAGAAGAAAACATGAAGGGGAAGAAATCAACTCAGATTGTCTGTATTCCTTAGGAAAATAAAAGAAGAAATAAATGAATTTAAAAACTGCACAATAGAAAAGAGAATTTCAAAGAAAAGCTGGGGAAATCACCTAGTCGGGTGTCAAAAGAAGGAGACGTTGATACAGGACAATACACTAAAAGACACTGAGTTAGTTACTAAGGCCTGCAGATATCTCTCCTCTGCTTGGTAGTGGCACAATCTACCTACAATCTAATCTAACAACAGTATTTACATCCTCAGCTAAAAACACCTTCTGATGCTGGAAGTAAGAAGACCATCTTTAAAAAGTCCACCAAGGTGAAGAAACGAGTTAATCATGTCACTTCAGACCTGCCAGGCATCATTTCAGAAACATCAAATTAAGCAAAGTTAAGCAAAGCTATAGGATTCACATCACTACTATTACTAAGGAAGAACAAACCAGAATGGCTTCTGCAATGGAAAACCACATCACTATCTTCTTCACTCATATTTAACGAGTCTATCAGTAGAAGAACAGAGCTTCATAATTCAGTGTCTTTCAAAACCATTTTAGGTCTATCAGGAATTTAAGATGCATAGTTGTGGGCTCAGTAGGAAAGTAAGGCCATCTTTCAGAAACCCCTTGAGACTACTGTCAGCAATTAACTTTCCATGTTAAAAAGTTGAGTTCTTACAAATCTGCTCTTGAGACTTTTGTATTTAACTGATTACTCACTGAACTAATGGTTTCAAAGAGAAGAAATACAAAAAAGTTGCAGATGAAAGTTTCAGATTGGTGAAGTCTATAGAAAAAAAAGTTAATATATTGTTAAATCATCACAGTGTAGAATATAAATTTTAAAATGGGAAGTGATAATGTGCTGACAAATGGAAAAAGAAAAATATTTAATGGGTTGAATTTGGTAAAGATTGTAAGTACCTAAAGTAAAATCACATCTCAGCTGTCAGCTCTGCTGCTACCTAGTAGTGGAAAATCCAGAGAAGACACTTATTCAGAATTAACTGAAATTTCTCCAGGACTGTAGAATAATGCCCATACAAACAGGAGAAGCACTAATTTGAGCAGCTCAGCACCTAAACACTGCTGGAGCTCACTGGAAAACTTTCTCTACTCTTCAGATTTAAGGAGTGCAAGATAGGATAATCCAATGTAAATGACCTCTAAAACACAGCCAGGCTAGATCACCAGTTCTCTCTTTTCTTAAGAGTGTAATTATTGACTTGGATTCCATGGTAATACACCTAAACTCATGCACTATAAAAGGAGCAAAGGCACTTTCAATAAGATCTTGATTTCCAGCCTGGAAACCACCTATTCAACCACAAGATACCTACAATCTGTGATTCATCTAAAAGGACATGAGAAAGAATTTTCATTATTAAAGCTGAAGTCCAAATAGAAGGAGGAGGAAGAAAATCTGCCAGATTATTATATAAACAGTAAGTATCACTGTATTTTTCACCTGGGAGGCTTCACACTTAGTATTGAAGAGCATTTTGATTCTTCACAATTCAATTGCTCAGGACCACAGAGGAACTTAAAAACACTCCCATGTAATTTTACACAGCTGACATCCTACATCTGCTGCATTTCTCTTGGATATAGCTATTTCCCTGACAGGAGCACATGAGAATTGATGCCAGATTTGTATGCCTGCATACCATTTGAGTGCATAAGATCTTTGAAAATCTAGACTTGGTGGATGGCCCATCTTCATTCACTGTGCTTGAGGGAAGTTAATGGCTCCCATGTGGTTCTCTAAGGAGCACTTGCCCTGCTGAGAGCAGTTATCCAGCATGTGGAGATAGAAGAACAAATTATTATGGTGTTCTGTCCTCCACCAAAAAAAAAGTACATAGAATAGCAAGAGCTCAAGGAGCACTGCAGTTATGTCTTCAAAAGGCTAGGTTGACATAACGATATTTTGATGAAATTGCATATGTAGACCTTAACTGTGTAACCACAAAACAATTTTCTGTGTGCACCTCACACCTTAGATTTCTAGAATCAAAGAATACTTTAGGTTGGAAGAGACCTTTAAAGGTAATCTAGTCCAATCTCCCTGTCATGGGCAGGGGCAATTTCAAAAAGTACACTCATGTCATTTATGTGCTTGCATTTGAGTAAGCACAAACATAAGAACAGAGTCACATGCATAGTATTTAAGACCTGTAACCCAAATGAAAACAGTTCCATTCTTCTTAGGGAAGTTCAGAAAATGTGGTTTTAAATATGCATCATCATGGTTAATCCTACCTGAATGTTTACTCCAGCACAAGTTTAAAAAGCTGTATTAAACAGCATAGTAGCCTAGTCCTACATTAAATGTAAAAAACATCACAAAAATAAAGACAACTAATGAAAACAGTTTGGTACTGACCTTTCTAAAAGAGGCCTTTAAACTGGTGGTGGATATCCACAGGAGGAGAAGAGAAAGATGTAGAAATGTAACTTCAGTGCAGCTTGTATATTGTGTTTTGAACCACAAAATAATTGCTTTCAGTGAAACAGTCAACATCTTAATATAAAATAAATTATAAAATTCTCACTTTTCATAACTAAATACTATTTTAATTATGATTTCATCTCTGATACATTGATTTAACTGCTCACTCACATTACTCATTAAAATGATTACTAACACACACATCTTCAGTTGCACTTAAAAATTAAGTACTTAAAAATTAAAGGGAAGTAATTTCAAGTAGAGAAAAGCTGATGAAGA